TGAAGGAAGAAGTCCAAGGTACATTGACGGCATTGGCAAAGAAGGCAAAGAATAATGCTCTGATAATTGATGGAATACAAGTTGAAATCTTTCGACAAACTAATGTGGCACTGGAAGCACTCACTCATCTATGCCAAGAAATTTAGAAGACAACTACCTGGCCAACTGATTGGAAGATATCCATATTTGTACCCATTCCAAAGATAGATGACTCAATGGAATGTGGAAATCATTGAATAATATCATTTAATATAGCATGCAAGTAAAATTTTGCTAAAAATATTTCAAAACTGGCTGCAGCAGTACATTGACAGGCAACTGCCAAAGGTTCAAGCCAATTTAGAGGAAGATGCGGAATGAGGAATATCATTGCTGACATCAGAGGGATCTTGACTGAAAGCAGAGAATACCAGGAAGATGTTTACATGTTCTTTACTGACTATGCAAAGGCTTTCGATTGTGTGGATTATGACAAGCTATGGACAACACTGCAGAGAATCAGTATTCCAGAACACTTAATTGTGCTTGTGAGAAACCTGTACATAGACTAAGAGGTAGTCATTTGAACAGAACAAGGGAACACTGAATGGTTTAGTATTAGGAAATGTGTGTGCCAGGATTGTATTCTGTCACCATACTTTATTCAATCTGTATACTGAGCAAAGAATTTGAGAAACTGGGTTATATGAAGAAAAACATGGCATCAGGGTTGGAGGAAGATTCATTAACAACCTGCACTATGACAATTATACAATCTTGCTTTCTGAAAGCAAAGATGATTTACAATACTTACTGATAAAGATCAAAGGCCACAGCTTGAGGTATGAGTTGTACCTCAATGTACAGACAACAAATCCTCACCACTGAACTGATAAGTGCATCAAGATAAATAGAGAAAAGATTGATGTTTAATTTTGCTAGTATCAACCATCAACACTTATTGAAGTAGCAGTAAAGAAATTAAACCACATATTACATTAAGCCAATCTGCTGCACAAGACCTCTTTAAAGTGTTGAAGAGCAGAATTGTCAGTTTGAGGACTATGATGCACCTGACCCAAGCCATGGTATTTTCAATAACCTCGTATACATGTGAAAGTTGGATAATGGATTAGGAAGACCCTAGAAGAATTATGCATTAGAGTTATGGTTTTGGAAGAGAATATTAAGATCACCATGGCCTGCCAGAAGAGCAAATCAATCTAAATTAGAAGAAGTACAGCCAGAATGTTCCATAGAAGCCAGGATGGTAAGACTTCATCTCTCATATTTTGGACATATTATTAGGAAGGACCAGTCCCTGGAGAAGGACATCATGCTTGGTAAAATGGAGGGTAGCGAAAAAGAGGTAGACCCCCCAACAAGATGGCTTGGGACAATGGCAGCCTCAATAGGCTCAAACGTAGCAATGAGGTTGGCACAGAACTGTGTAGTTTCCTTTTGTTGTGCATACGGTCTCTGTGAGTCAGTACCATCTCCATGGCACCTAACAATAACAGGTGGAGAGAAAATTAGAGAATAATATCCATCCAAATGTACATACCTTACTAGTGTTGTTGTTCCTCCTATATACCTATCTACTGCTTGACTGAAAGTTGGGGATATATGGCATTCATTTAGTTTTCTTTTTGTGAAGAAAATGGGTACTTGCCTAAATACAGTGCTCTGCTATCTGTGTTTCACATGCAGATTTATGATGGGCTTGGCATTCATTCCCGTCAAATTGGAATTTACTGTGGTACCCAGACTGCATCCTTTAGCTCCTCTAGGAATTCTTTGACAGTTCAATTTTATTCGGACTCTTCAGTCTCAGGGAAAGGATTCCTTCTGGAGTGGTTTGCAGTGGACATTTCTGCTGGACTTTCACCTACCATTGCTACAGGTGTGTTTGGTAATAAATAGAATTATTTTTTAAGACTGATATGTGTGGACCACAATTTCTCAGTCATACTACAACAGAAACAATATACAAATGTGTAAGAAGAGTAAGTATGGCCCAAATGTCATCCTCATATGTTTAAGTGTTCTTTTAAGTTTACAAATGCTAACTTTTCTAAAGATTATACATTTGCATCTAGGAAGTATACAGATTTTATATCATATTTTCAACATTAAGTTTGATATCCACAATATATATTTACTTGTAATTTCTAAAGACTAGTTTAGGAGCTTTTAAAAATTTGCTTTCCAAATACTATGTATGCATACATGCAAATATACACATGCAACTATACACAATGGCTAAGGATCAACTGAAAGACAGAGGTAACCATATTTTTCCTTTGCATTTTATTTTAAATGCACCTTCAGAAATGTCACTTTCAATGTAAAATTAGCTTATTTAAATTTTTTATTTTATAATATTTAAGACATCCTCAAATTTCTAAGTGAAAGTAATATTGTGCTAACAGTGTTTTGTGAAACTTTCTGCCTTTTCCTTGAAAAATATGTTCACCACCTTTGAATAGCTTCTATGATTTTGATGGTTAATATAGAAAAATTTGTCAGGCATTTCTCAGTGGTTATTCTTAGTCCTTGAAATACTTTATTGGGACCCATAATTTAACACAGGATCTAATTAAAAGAACTTTAAACTCCTAGCTTCAAAGGACTATACAGACTTTAAAAAATTATTAGCTTCTTATAATCTGTATCAGAGAGATCACTGAATAGGGATTTATATTATTTTTATTTAATGCTCCTTATTATTCTGGTGTGGTGCTGTGGGTTAATGTACCAGACTACAAAGCCATTAGAACTGCAAGGTTGGTGGTTCAAACTCACCAGCTGCTCCTTAGAAACCCTATACAGGGTCGCTATGGGTTGGAATCAACTCGACAGCACTTAACAACAACAACAACAATGTTCTGAAGTCCTGGTGTGGCACTGTAGGATAAGTACTGGGCTGTTAACCAAAAGACTGGTGGTTCAAACTCACCAATCACTCCTTGGAAACTCCATATAGGGTCTCTATGAGTTGGAACTGACTCAGCAGCGCTTAATAATAACAACAGTATGTGTTCTAATATCTTGTTTTTAATTTTTACTGACTTTATAAGGTGCTTACGTGTAACTAAATGTAAATCTCTTCCTTAAAATATTAATCTATTTATCTAAGAGCAAGAAACCATCAACAAGATTGTCAAATACAATTTAGAGATAATATTTAAATCTTGATCAATATGTTCAGTGCTCTCCTAAATAAACCTGAGTTACGTTTAAAAAATGTATATATATTTATTGTGAATTATGTGATAGTTTACATGGGAGAACATTAGCTTTATATTCATCCTATCGGATATAGTTTCATTGCCATGTTTACAATCCCCTCCAGGCATCATCAACCATCCAAGGCTGCAAGGCTGCCCCCCAGTCTCATCACACAGCACCTCTCCCTCTCTGAGTCTAGAGTCCCCAGCTACTCCATCTCTCCACACCATCGTCTCTGCCTCCATCTCTGGTGTCACTGTTTCTCTGGGCAGGCTTCCTCTCTCTGCTTCTCTCCCTTGATGGTCCCAGGGACCTCTGCTCCTAGACTGCAAAGTTAATCACTACCCTCTTTTTGCTACACAGCGTCTACCTTTACATTTCCAACCTTCACAATCAGTTCTGATAACAATTATTCGCTATTGTATCACAAGAGACCTATCCACATCTCCTTTCATCAGCCCCACCTAGACAGATTGGATACTACTCAGTGGAGAGTCTACCTTCCTCCATACCCACCCTCTGGATCAGGTTCCCTCTTGAAAGCTTGTAAGCCAGTCACTTCTTGCCTTTGTAGCATCCCCCTGTGTCCCCCCACCCCCATTTTGGGTAGCCAATGTCCAAGTTGCCCATCCCTGTCTTATCTGTATATGGAGGGGGTATGAATGATCCTCGCTATAAAGATTTGTTTTCTCTTTTTGAGCTACTGCATCAAAAAGTGTAGGTCAAGTTCATCAAATTGTATCAGATTACTCTTTTTTTACTCTTCTTTTTTCTTCTAGTTGAGCTCTGATCATCCAGTCATTGAAGCCAGGTCAAGTGGGTATTATCTGCAAGTGTGGATATTCTTATGCATATGCCCTCTCTTATCAGCTGGATGCTTTATCTTTCACTCTAATCCTCTGTGGCTATGTCACTGACTCTGGGCCAAAGAGTCCCCAGGTCTTGCCACACTGCTGGCCAACCAAGTCTTCACCCGGGTTCACAGGAGTCTATTGAACATTGTAGAGCTTAGCTCGCTGCTTCATTGTTGTTTTTCCCTCACTTCCCCTTATCGGTGACGAACATGGTCACCAATCAGAGTGTGTATTCCCATTGTATCTTAATCTTAGAAGGGGGTTTGCCTTGAGGGGATCTGACCACTTTCCTTGATGTCTCCTGGGTGAGCAACTTGCTTGTTCCTGTAGTAATCATTCGGTCTGCCTTTATTGTTTTGTATTTTTCCTGTTGGTCTTTCAAGAAGTATCTTCTGTTCTTCTAGCCACTCCAGGCTGGTCTACTTGTCCTTTCAAGTGGAAATTTCCCACCTCAGAAGATTCTGGATGTGTTTCAAGATTCCACCTATGGTCTTATGTGATGCGGAGGGTCTGCAGGAAGTCTCCTTCACTGGGCAAGTTGTAGCCCCATTTTAGGTATTCCAGTCAGTTATGGGCAGAAGACGGATTTACAAGCTTTCTGTGATGATATTTCTGGCTATTCCTTTCTCTCCACCTCAAGTGTCTATTTTATAATGGTATGCCAGGATAACCAAATTGAAGAGACAGCCAAGCATTTAACATTATTTCCCCCCTTTTGCTCATTCCAACCATGCCTCAATCCCTGTATCCCAGAGCCCTGTTATTCCAAGGTTGTGCATACATCGTTATTTACCTCTGTCCCACCTAGCCCATGCATACCTGCCTAATTGTTCTCCCATCTACTTTGTTCTTCCATTCACCTCACCCTTCTTGTGTATTGCCCCCTACCCTAGCACCCAAACTATTCTATGTCAATTCCCTACCCTGTGCTCCACCTTCCCTTCCCTCCCCTAATCCCATCCCCCACATAGATATTTATTATTGTTATGTCATCTTGTTCAATTGTCCCTTTAATCATGAGATAATGTCCATCTTTATCTATTATGCTGGGTTTTGCCTTAAAGTTTATTTTATCAGAGATTAGTACTGCCACTCCTGTTCATTTTTTATTGCAATTAGCTTGGTATGTTTTTTCCCATCCTTTGACTTTTAATCTATTTTGGTCTCTATGTATGAGATGTGTCTCTTGCAGAAAGCATATTGAATGATCTTGTTTTCTTATCCATTCTGTCACCCTCCGTCTCTTAACAGGTACATTTAATCCATTTACATTCAGTGTAATTATTGATAGGTATGGATTAATCGCTGCCATTATGTTTGTTTTCTTGTGGTGTTGCTTTTTTGTTCTGTGTGTCTTCCTTTGTTGAGTTCATGCTTTTTGTGTTCTTTCTTGTAAGTTTCCTCATAGTTGTAGTGTTTCCATGTTCTCCTTGGATTTTCTTTTTCTTGGTATGTTGTGAAGTGTTAGTTTTCTTTGCGGTTGCCTTATAGTCCACTAACTCTTCCCTCCATTTAGTGCAGTCTATTTTATCCTGTCATCTACCTGACCTTCTCACCATCTGGATCTCTGTTCATACGAGTTTACCTTCTTTTACATTGTAATTGTTTTGATCATAGACTGACCTCCCAGATTCTCTGAGTTTGTTCTTATAGTTTTGTTCTGTTCTCAACTCTTCCTTCTGTCGAATTAATTCTGGGAGGTGCTGCCACATATGTCAGACTCTGGTTGTTGTCTGTTCTTGTTGGTTCTCAGTTCACAGAACTCCCTTTAGGATGTTTTGTAGTGTAGGGTTGGCTTTGGCAAAATCCCTTAGCTTCTGTTTATCCTGGAATGATTTGATTACACTGTCGTATTTGATTGATAGCTTTGCTGGATTAAGGCTTCTTGGTTGGCAGTTTTTTTTCTTTCAGGGTTTTATATATGTCTGCCCATTGCCTTCTTGCTTGCATGGTTTCTGCTGAGAGATCCGAGCTTAATCTGATTGCTTGCTTTTGTATGTAACACTTCTGTTTTCCCTAGCTGCTTTCAGGAGTGTCTCCTTAGCTTTGATTTTGGAGCGCTTGATTAAGATATGGCTTGGTGATTTTCTTTTGGGTTCTATCCTTCCTGTGGTTCGTTGAGCTTCTTGAAGTTTATCTTTTCACTTTTCAGGATGTTAGAGAAATTTTCTTCCAGCAATTCTTCAACTATTTCCTCCGTGGATTTGTGTGATTCTTCTTTTTCTGTAATGCTGATAATTCTTAAATTATTCCTCTTCATGTTGTTCAACATGAATCTTAGGCCTTCTTTGGATTTTTTTTTTATCCTTTTTTCTGTTTTCTCTTCTATTGTAGTGGTATTAAGAAATTTGTCTTCCAGCTCACTGGTTCTGCCTTCCATCTCTTGTATTCTACTCCTTTGCCCTTTCAGAGTATAGTCTATTTCTGATATTCTACTATTGATCATTTGGACATGTTTCTGTAGGTTTTTAATTATTTGCATTGCTGTATCTATCTTATTTGATTGTTCCTGTAATGCTGTCTTGACTTCTTCCTTATTTTTCTCAACTCCATTGTAAAGTGTTTTGAAACATTTTATAATAATTTTTCTGAATTCCTTCCCAGGCATTTCCAAGGCCTGCCCTCCTTCCAGAATGTAGTCCATGTCTATCTCTAGGTCATTTGTCTCAGACATTTTATCTTGTTTCTGGACATGTGCTGATATGGTTATCTGCTTTTCCTTCTTGGACATGTTTAGTGTTTATCTGTAGCCTTAATACTTAATTAAATATGTGTTTTGGTAATTTTTATGCTTTCTGATTGCTTCCAGGTAGATGTG